CCCGACACTCCGTTGACGGAACGGGAGACCGAGAGGCGGAGGACCACAACTTCGACGAGAATAATATCGCGCGAACACAGCTTTTGTTCTTCTGTCGATAGAGCCTAGGCTGAGAGAAGATGGCGACAAGGGTACCTCCGCCGTGATGAGTGTTTTGAGGAGGTCGGCTGGACTGAGGGATGGAGAGGTCGCAACTCGCAACGACCGGAAAATGAAAGGAAGGAGAAGAGGCGATTGAAATGAGAGAGGCGCTGGTGTTGGATTCTATCGGCTGGGAGCACGAGCGGTAGAAGGGTTTACTGAATGGGTTGCCCTATATTCTCCCCAAGCAATGCCCAACTGTAATCAAATGGCAGCAGAAGAGGCGCCATTCTCGCCATAGTAATTAGGCGCGCTCGTCGTCTTACTGGGGAAAAGTGAGGTTGGGAGTGATCGTCGGAGGAAGGAAAAGAAGTAGAGAGAGATCCCTGGACACTGGGGTTTTCTTCCAGACAGAAGATAGGTTAGACGGTTGGGTTTTGAGAGAGGTAGATGGGTTGACTTGCGTCTGGGTATGGTTAAGTTTAATTATTTATTATTAATTTTGATGACATGGAGTGCTGACTGGATCAAACTAACAGAATTTTGGATGGAGAAGGACGGAATGACCATTTTGTTATAGGTTTAAACGTTTATTATTGAATCGTGCAAAAATAAAGGTTTGTGACCGTTTTGTACAAAATGCAAAGATTTGTGACCATTTATGATAATTACCCTCTATAGAAAACCCCCCGTGATATTAACTACATTTAGCAACACGTTGGTAGAAATGAGAATGTGTATATTAGTGGAGTGGTGTTGCGTCTTGAACGACCCAGTTTTCAACCTTCTCAGCATCAGAGTTGGTGTAAGTTCGAGTTATGAATGTCCCAACAGAGATTGCGAGTTGTGTATAGTTTTTTTTTTTTGAAGGGGGTACATGAGGGGTGTGTAGCCGGGGTAATGTGATGCCTTTCAACAAACCTTCCCAGCAGAGGTTCACATCTTTCGTAAAAGGAAGAATCTCGTATTTTGATTGTTGTTTTACCAAAGTTTTGTTCTCCTCCATTCCTTAACAGTATGTCAAAAGATAACCAAAATTCAACCCCCTCACATAAATGATTTTTATAATATAGTATTTACGAGTTTTGATCGAAACTTTCACTTTATTCGAATTTCTTGTGATTATCAATATAGGTACCTGTTTAAACATGATACACCAATCTTATGATGCAAGTATGATTGGTGGTGGGTCTATTTTGGATTTTTGGAGAACCAATTACTAGCACTACTACTAGAAAAATGATAATAAATTGATCATGTGAGAATATGAACCAAGTCAAATTTTAGGAAACTAATTATTGAGGAAGACATGTCTGGGGACCAAAATGGGTGCTTAATATCAATTATTAATTAATCATTCGTTGTCTCTTTTCTTTCTAATAAAAAGGAAAATAGAAGAAAGAATAATTAGTTTGAAGGAGGTTTTTGATAGGAAGAGAATCAAAGGCGTTGATATGTGTTGTGGGGGAGTTGGGAGGCTGGTGTGTGTCCCACATTATTCCTACTCTTCCCACATGATGTGTCGACTTCATAAGCCCAAACCGGTCCTACCAGATCTACTTTCTCCTCTCATAATCCACCCAAAAATAATATTCCCATTAAAATTTTAGGTAACCTGACTTTTAGCGATGATTATATTTAGGTGCGACGGTTTGGTTTCGATTTTAATCGAAATCTAAATGGTTATATAGGTGTATTGATTTCTCTTAACAGATAAAAATTGGTAAATGCTTAATAATTTTCATTACCACTGGTAATCGTTAATAATCCGATAAAACGACAATAAGTCTTCAAGCAATCAAAGGTTCATTTTTGATTTTTCGGTTTATTCTGACCGAAATACGTTCCAAGCTTGTCTCGTTAGGATCACTATTTGTTCCTCCTCCTGAAGAATTCGAAGAGAACGACACACAATACCGAATTTATGTGGTTTCCGTGTTCATTAATGAACATGACTAGTCCATGAAGAAAGTGAGTTCTCGGTTGTTCTTTAATTAGATGATTAGGTTTTATTAGAGCTCTTAGGCGTATATGCTGGCTCTTTTATAACCTAAGCTAACCGATCACTATCAAGTATCAACATTAATACACAGGATGGCAAAGTAGCATGAGATCCTCAAACTTACCAAAAAGAACATAAATCTGTCTAGGAATCTCAATACCTCCAAAACGTGGAAAGCAACGAATTCGCTAAGTTAGTTCACCAATACGATCCAAACTTGTCTTAATTCTATAACTCTTAATCTGAGGTTTAATGGTAGATCATGTGGATACTTCGAGGTAAAGGCATTAATTAGTCACTAGTTTCCTTTTATGATTATCTTTTAAAGGGGTACCCTCATTACAAAAGTCACATAATTGGTTCATTTAATTAGACTCTCATTTGGGTCCGTTGTACTCTCTTCTTGGTATAGAAGTTGATGTCATCCTTCGCCCTCGAATTGAGTTTCTAACTAATCAAACTCTATTGGTTTATCATGGTTTCATGCTCTAGCTTGTGTATGGCGATCTAAGTTCGTCCTAAATACTCGTAGCAGGCCCGACTTGCTACCATGGATCACTTTATCACCCTTGAAAGTTGGTAGCTCGGAAGAGATAGATAGATCTAGTACGCATTCTCCACTATTGAGTAAATTTCAACAAAATTCTCACTTATGTTTTTTTTTTTTTCGATTCAAATACTCTGAAAGAAATTCAATCTTATTATCCCCCATAAAAGGAACTTCCTCAGTGGCTCCCAAATCGCTGTGTGTTCAAACTTAAATGTTGTATACACGAGCAGGATACCACCAGGATATGGATAATGCCAGAGTCCACCATCGTTATAAACAAACACATTATTATAAATCACTTTCTTAATACAATTACTCAAAAGAATTCTTCTGCATCAATTTCTCAACGCTTGACTTCACTTTATATGTACTTGCAACAAATACATTTATATGTGAAGATAGGTATTACATCATAGTTGATATGTGAATAAACTTATCTACGGAATGCTCACAATCTTATTTATTCCGTTATTATTATTATAAAAAAAGAAAAATAATTACGTGTTATCTTATAATTAAAACAAAAAAGTTTGATGTCACTAAGTGCTTAATTAATCAATCTCAGTTGTAGAATAGTCTTCCTTGCTTCCCTAATGTGCGCGTCCTATCCTCCTATCTCTTCCATCTTATTTTTAGTTGAAGTAGGAGACTTTCTACCCCTTTGTAGTGCATAAAGATATGATTATTGTATATATAGTTAAAACTGTGGTTAGAGATGGCAGTTTCAATCCGACTTGTAATATGCAGGCAGAATATGGGTATACTGCTTCCATCTTGCAATCTTGTGTTGCTCCATCTCACTCTTTTGTTGACCTGTTCTTTCTCAATTTCTCTTAATATTTTGTTTATATTTCTCTAATAATTTCTTCTCTTCAATCCTATTTCCACCCAAAGAAAATTTGAATATGAGCAAGATTTCATCTTCCAACTAATTAGTTCCAATTACTCATTTTTATTATACTTATTTTTGACTCATGAAGTGTTTTTCCGATATTTTATCGTAAAAAATCTATGTGGATCACAAAATCCTCTTATTTAAAGTGAACGTTATTGTTAATAAACTCATTTTAACTCTTTGTAACTTGGCTTTAGTTTGCTGCGTAGCACAATCTCAGTGCAAGTACCAGGATTTACATGGTCAAACATTGTTTTCGATAGTTAACTACTCTATTTACCATCTAATCACTTTGTAATCAGTAATAGGCTAATAGCGGAGCAAGAAGTCTAAGTGCGCGGGGTGGGGGAGGGGGCACTTGAAGCTCAAAATATTTAATTTAAATCATGATAATTTAGCGAGGAAATCAACAACTTACGAATTGTAATACAAAGTTTACATGTAATTTTTACTCTAGTATCATTGTCTTTACCTAATATAGCTTTGTTGTTGTAATCCGCAATCAATTGTATTCTCCTCATATATACGATGAAAAATCTATTCTCCCCCGCTCGTAAATTTAAAACCCTCATTTCCAGTTAATGAAAAGAATCACATGGTAATGCATGTTGTTTATTCTTTACGTTGCCAACCGTTTCTGTCATAAGTTGTAAAACTTCTCGTTAGTTATCCCTTATTTTTAAACCAATATTTACCTCTGGGATATAACAGAGAAAGAAAAGTAGAAAAGAAAAGACTACCTAGAACCCTTACACTACAATACCTCATTGAAATCACCTTACAAGAGAAACTAATTCCACAAGTTATACTAACAAGCAACCGGACTTTAGGCACTAGAAAGGCCAATTTATTCGGTAAGATAACCATGGATGTGATTAAAATTAATTAAATGATCACAACTACTTATGATATGAGCATCCCAGTCAGAAGCTACTAGACCCACCACACTAATAAAGTATAAACAAACAAACAAACAATTAAGAGAATAACTACAAAATTCCCCCGTCTTTATCAACCCCCCGATTAAGCTATTGCCGTCTATTCCAATTTAACTGCCCAATTCAGCATGAATATGGAAGCCGTAGAGTGCAAGCAACCGCATCATCGTCGCCGTCGCCGTCGCCGCCGTTAGTGGAGTGGGTTGGCTGCCGCTCTTTACTCGTTACTCCACAATATATTATACATAAATCTATATCCGGCCCCGACCATTAGCCGACTCTCCTTTTCAGCTTCCATCATATCGCCACACAACTTGAACAAACAAACGCCGTGACTTCCCCCACAATCTCATGCACCTGTTTTCCTCTGCTTCAGCTGGAGCCTCTACAATTTTAATCGTTAGATTTGTGCGTTTGTATTAGCAAATATGCAGTAACAAATCTATTGTTAAAATATCTATCAACAATTTGAGATATCGTGACTAATTATAAATCGATAAAATTAAATTAGAATGATTTAAATTTTGATAAATAAGCAGCGAAACCAAACTATTTTTACGGTTTATTTTTTTTTATTATAAAATTTGTCACCACTTTTACATGTCACTTCAACTATAATTTGAAAACGGTGGAGGATCACCACCTTCACGACCCTAACTAACGAGTGACAGACTTTGGAATCTAAATGCATTAAGTATCGTATCATTACCCATGTTAATCATGTAATTAAGTTCTCCTAACCTCTCTCAAACGTAACCCTCCCTCTCTCTCATGAGGAGTTGAAAAAGAAATTACAGGGGGTAAAAACTAAAAAAGCAAAGCTTGAAACATCAGAAAGCGGTAAAAAAAAAAAAAAAGCGCTATTCTAAAATGTACAAAAAAAAGCTGTATTCCTTCCTGTACCGCCAGTAGCAAAAAACATAGCAGGATACCCACTACACGCGCACAAACGTTGACGTGGCGCATCCTTCTCCTATATTCCCGGCCGACCAGCTACCTAGCTAGAAATAGTCAAAACTCGACGCGCTTCTCGTCTTCCCCGCGGCGGGGCGGTGCATCGCCGCCGGAGTCGTTCTCTGCCTCCGCAAGCTGGGAACAGCCGGCGGCGTCACCGTCCGTATCAGCGCGAAGTTCAAGCCCTTGAAGAACGGGTGGGTCTTCACGTCGGCGGCTCCCCGCTTCGACCCGAGCCTCCGGGTCGGGTCCTTGTCCAGCAACCCGGATATCAGCTCCCGCGCGTGAAGCTCCATCGTCGACGCCGGCGTCTGGGTCGGGAAGGTCAGCGGCCTCTTCACGATGTTCCGCAGCGTCTGGTCGTTGGACGGCGCGGCGAACGGAGTCCGCCCGTAGATGAGCTCGTAGATGAAAATACCCAGGGCCCACCAGTCCACTGCGTTGCCATGGGACCCGCCGGAGGCTACCTCCGGTGCCACGTACTCGTGGGTCCCGACGAAGGAACATGACCGGGCGGTGACCGGTTCGGCGACGAAGAGTCTTTTCGGGTTCGGGTTCAGCGTCTGGATTTTCTTCGACCGGAAGACCCAGGTCGGGAGGCACGAGAACTGCGGTGGCCGCCGCTGCGGCGACGGTGAAGCGGGATCTTCTCCTTCTGGGGAGAAAGAAGCGGAAGAAGGCGTCGGATGAGATTCAACGGCTGGGATTGCGTGCGAGCAGAGTGAAAGGTCGAAGTCGGAGAGCATGATGTGACCGTCCGATCTGACCAACACGTTCTCCGGTTTCAGATCTCTGTAGATGATTCCCAGCATGTGGAGATACTCCAGCGCCACCAGTACCTCCGCCGCGTAAAACCTGGAAGCGACATTGACATGATTTTTTGTTCAGTTCTTTCTTTTCAAATCCCTTGTAAACTTCAACACCACCATTAATGGGTAAAAAAATCTCACAGAAATTTGCGGCTAGGTCAGAAATTAAATCCAAAGAAGGGAACTAGCTCTGTAACTTTCCATTCTGAGAAATCCATTATACCAGAGGTTGAAGACGACCTCACCGCAACAACAACAACAAAAATACAAAAAAAAACAAGAGAGCTACCTAGCAGAAGAAAACAAAAACTAAAAACAAGAAAACAGCCATGCAGTGCAGAAGGATCATTGAGAGAAAAACGTCAATTGAGAACTTCGAAATCCTATTGCAGCTTTTTTTCTCCCCCTCCTCGAGTTGTCATAAAGGAAGCAAACAAAAATTGCAGGAAATGGGGAAAAAAATTCAAATAAAAAAAAGGAAGAGTGGTGGAGGAGGATAATGCTGAGAGAACTGACCTAGCGGAGGCGAGAGAGAACCGCTTATGAAGCTGCTTGTGGCGGAGAGAATGCAAGTCGCCGCCGGAGCAGTACTCCATCACAATGCAAGAGAAATGAGAGGCTTCGAACTCGGCGTAAAGCGTAGGCAGGAACGGATGATCCAGCATCTTCAGGATCTTCTTCTCCATCTCGGCCCTCTGCTCCTTTTTCTTCACCGCGAGGGCCTCCTTGTCCACCACCTTCATCGCGTAGAAGCACTCCGAGCCGTCGTCGGCCTCCTCCCCGTGGTTGAGCCGGCAGAGGTACACGGTGCCGATGTCGCCGGCGCCGATGCGGCGGAGGAGGCGGAAGTCGCGGAAGGTGAGCCCGCTCTTGCTCCGGATGGCTGAGTAGGCGAAATCGGAGGAGCGATGGGGCTTGAGCGTGAGGTTGTTCTCCGGCGACGATCTCGCCGCCGCTGCCGCGGCGGAGACGTCAAAGGAGAGGCGGCTGTAGGAGCTGCAGCTCTCGCAGGAGCTGCTCATCGAACTGTCGGAAGAATTCGTGGTTTTCAAACTCAAATCGCCGTCGGAGTAGTCGCCGTACAGCTGGCCGCTCTCTAACATTCTCTTCCAAACCCCTCAATCAAGAGACCGGTCCAAAAATCAGACCTATAGAGAAGAGAAGAAAATCAAAATCGAATCCGATCGTTTCTCTCTCTCTCTCTCTCTCTATCTATCTGCGTCTACTGCAAGTTTCTAGAGGAAGAAGACGACGATCTTTGTAATCGATGGCCGACGAATCGGATGCCGAATTGAATAAGTACTGCTGAGTGCTGAGTCGGGAAATCGGGGGGACATTTAATTCGTCTCCAGCTAGCTAGCTAGCTAGCAAATCAGAGGGAGGGGAAAATGAAGCTTTGAATGAGGGAGCAGAGAGTTTGTCTGAGCTGGAGCGGAGGCCAGTAATGGCTGCCGTACTTTGGTTGGTTTGGGTGTTTGGTTGGCGGAAGGGAAAATGTGAGAAGCCGAGAAGGAGAGAGCGCTGAAAGGGAAGAACGGTAGTTGGAAGGGTATTTATGGTTGCATTTTCTGGAGGTGGCGTACGGAACGGGGTAAAAAAAAGAAAGTGGCGTTTTTACGTTAACCTCTGGTAAAAAAAAGCTGTAGGGTGGGGGCACGTGAGGTGAAAAAAGTGGATGGTAGCCCCACGGAGGGATGACGTGGGCAGACGGCACGTGAGGAGAAGGTCGTATGGATGTTTGTCACGTGGCGCAGGTTGCTTCTTGCTTTCATTTTTTCTTTCTTGTTTTACGAATTACGAATTCTACCGCGCGGCGTGTGTGGTTCCTTTCCGTTGGGGAAGCGGAAGCTTCATCAGGGGAAAGCGTCAAATGTCGGGATTGCCCCTGGGATTGCTAAGACAGGTGTCGTGGGGATAATGTAAAATGAAAAAAAAAAGGTCAAATGTAAGACTAACTTAACGACTAATTACTGAATTCCCTTAAAAAAAAAATGTCTAATCGCTTAATCAGGCAGTTAATAGGAAGATTCCAGGATGGATTAGGCGTTTTGATTAGAGTGGATTAATTTAATATAATTAACGGGAGAGTTCCAAGGAAGTGAAAACTAGGCAGGCAGTAGGGAGTAGGGGAGCTTGACTTTTACGGTTCCGGATTAGTTAAAATAATTACACAAGGATCCATAAAAAAGTTTGACCTTTTTTCTCCTCCTTCCTTTCTCTCTCAGCCATTGATAATTGTAGCCTTTCTAAGCATTAAAAGTCATTAGTACATAATAATTGAGTTCCTGTTTGTGATTAATGATAATTGTACTTGCCACGAGGGGAGGTGTAAATGTGAAAGACGGAAAGGGGTTGCGGGCAATAGGGTAAATTCGTCTGTGGGGGAGGTGGAGAAGAAGAAATTCAGACTTCAAGGGAATCAGGAATGGATAGATTAAACGATGCCGTTCATTAAAATTTTATTATTTTACCAGTAAACATTTAGAGAATGCAATAAGTGTAGAGACTGGGCTACATATCCCAAGTTGTATTCCAAACGATGAAAGGGAAAAAGTGATGAGCATTCAGCCTGGGCTTTAAGATTGATTGAGACCACTCTATGCAACGCACAAATACATGGTGATTCCCATATCCACATTGCATGCACATATACCAGTTCCATAAGATACAAGTCCTCTACTCTTCATAAATGGTGTTGGGAACTTCAACATGGATCATATGGTTAAATAGCGGGTGGTCAAGTCAAGTGAAAATCGATATTTGACATTGTCTAGTCGGAGTTAATGGTTTTGTACGAAAAATATAACACAGTGATAAGTTTGAGAATATTGTTAATTAAAATAGAGGGTATTCTTTCCGTGAAACATAGTATAGTAGAGGCATATTTCAAAAACATGGACGCAAAGGGTAAGATATTCTCGAAATTTAGGACTCTATTGTCAATACGAATAAGTTCATGACAGAAATGACACTTTTTTTCTAAGTTTTGATGTTCCAGTGGTGGCTTACCCTATTAATTTTTCTTACAATATTATATGGAGTCACGTTCGATTACCCGTGTGAAAATTTTCTGCCACCCGCAAGGGGAGCGTCGAGGTTCTCGAGCCTGCCTAACACCTTGGATGTCGAGAACCCTACAACTTGATTCTACGACGACAACAGTATCACTCCTACTAGCCGATCGATGACGAGTCCCCTCATCAACACTCCAAATCATTGTTACTACGGCTCACACCTACATAGAGAGTAATTTTCTCGGCCGATTGTTGAGTCCATAGAAATTTGTTCATTCTCCACAGGTTTACAATTTGTTTCAGATGCCGATACGACTATTCGTTATCGAAATTTCTACATCATCATGCCCTACAAGTAAAACGAGACAATCTGCGCGTTTGCCACATTCCGAATCAAAATTATGATTGGGAAAAGAACAAGTCTACACATTCTCCCCCTCTCATATGACGGTTAGGGAGAAGAATCAAAGTTATTAGGGCAGAAACAGAAGAAGAGGGTCCCCGGCCGGTGTCCCAGTAGGTGAGATGGAATAGGGTGCCCTGCAAAAGGCAAACAGAAAAGAGCAAACCAAAGTGGGACAAAGCCCAACGTCCTCCCCCAGCTCCCTCCCTTCTTACTGTTGGCTTCCGAGTCTCTGTTTCGTCCAAAAAAAATTAAAATGAGAATGTGTTTGGGTCCCAAAACTGTATCAGCTAACAAAACGTCGAATCCAAGACTATAATGCAGCCGTTGTTGAAGACGAGTGAGGACGAGCCACAGCCCCAAACACTTGCACATGTCGTAAATACTCTCTGGGCCGGTTCGTCATGTGACCCGGTTTCCTAGCTAACTGCCCGATTTCAGTGTCACAATCGACGAATGAATAGGTTAGTGAGGGGAAGAAAAGAGGGAATATATGATAATGCATGGTTTCTGGTTATAATTAACAGTAGCCCAAATGTTTGTCATTAGCCACAGAATTAAACATGGGTTGTACTGTTAGAACAACACCAACTGTGGTCCTACGTACATGACATGAATCCTAAATCAGTGTTGACTAATATAGGAAAACTTGATTTTAGGGGGAGAATAAGGGAAAACGTTGGCTAATCTGTCTTATTCATTAATTTATGGATTTGGTTTGATTTTGGGTTTAAATCAACTAGTAATTTTAGAGACAACGAAAATTATGATACGATATGCTCGTGATCATGATACCATAATCAGGAAGAGTTAATCCCAATAATACAAGTTGTTTTAAGAAATCTACAAATGGATCGTACATAAATCAAAACTCTAGCTGCAACTAATAGGTTGGCAAGTTAATTTTTTTAGTCGGCGGATGATAAGGAAGAAAGAAGAAAATTTCGCATTTTTTTTTTTGTTTTTCTTCAATCCAAAGAGAAATTGTAATGAGAAAAGGAAAATTAAAAACGAAATGATGTTATATTGTCTTTGTAGCGCAAACCCCAAGTTCCGATTTACAAGACTCCTAAGAGTCCATCATAGATTATATTGTACGAATTTAATGTGATAAAAGAATAGTACAAAGCGTCGAATAAGCGAGATCGTACTTCACGTACCAGTCCCATTTATTACCTTCACAGTAGGTATTCACAAAGAGAACCAAACAATCTTGAACAAGCCGTCAGCTTAATAGCATTTATAAGAGTAGCATAAAGATGAAGAGAGTCGGTTGGTTATGGTATGCTTCCAAATAAGCTCAGTGCTGCTCATCTAAAGTCATCGACCTTAATCAAATTGCTTTGTTGCTTAACTTCATTTTTAAGGGAACAGAGACCAGATTGTGGTGGGCAAGTCCCAAGTTAGGCGGTCTCGTCATGCTACAAACCCAAACAACACCAATCATATCATCAAAAGTGACACTTCACAAAACAAAACCCATCATCATGAAGAAATGAAATAACAAGGCATGAAAATAAACAGGATGTGGGGGCAGGCAGGTGCTTTCCTTCCTTTCTTTCATTGTTCATGTACAGCAAATCATTGAAACGGCTGGGCCAGGGCCATCGTCTCCTAATTCTGCCTGGTCGGGCCCCTGTTGATAATGTGCATTACTACACTTCTTAGAACAAACAATTTTTTTGTTTTGGTGCGTGATCACTGATCATTCCTTAAAACCGGTGGAAACTAGGTGCAAGATTGTTAGTTCATTGTTTTGGGTAGAAACAGTGTGAAAAGCTTGTTTCATGGTTGAAAATTTGAAATAATGGAAGGAGATTCCACCTTCAGATTTAATGCACTTCTAACGAAGAAAAAGGCAAACATAAGTTATGCATACAATACAAACATTCAATGGCTTGTTTGTTGGATTTAAAAAATGAGGATTTTGAGTTTTAAAAACTTTTGGATTTATGATGGATTTGTTGCATTATGAATTTGAAAAAGAGTACATTATTTGTTTAGTTAATTTTTATCATGGATTTATGATGTTTTTCTCTCACAACTTTGCCTTACATTATCAAATCCCACATGAAATGTGAGATTTGCAAATCCGTGGAGTCCACTGATTTAGATCTAAAAAATGTATCCAAATCCGTGTGCGCCACAGATTTGTGTCCCTTAGCAAACAATAGATTTGTACCAAGTCCTTGATGCTTGGGATTTGGGTGCCAAATCCATCACCCCAAATCCCACAAGAAAACAATACCTTAATAATACTATTCTTTTCCTCGAGACATACTTTTTTTTGGTGTAATGCAGAGCGCAGTGGGGCGCTCTAGCCCTTAATCATTAATCAATAGAGGAGTTTGAACTCCAATAACATCAAAGTACAACCAATAATTGAGCATCAAACTTGGGTTGTCGAACACATGACACCCAATAGACAAAGAGTGGCCCAGGCCGGCCAAATAATCAGCAACATAGTTACCTTCCCGAAAAACATGCTTAATACGGACCTCCCAATTCCTTTCCAACAACCTGCGGGTTGTGCTAATAAACGTTCGATGCGGGTGGCTCTCTGCTTCAGTTTGTAGAAGTTGCATCGCCGTCATGGAATCAGTTTGCAGCTCCACCTTTCTTACTCCTTTCTCCCAAGCCATCCTCAGTCCAAGGACTATTATGACAGTTCAGCATGAGTTATAGAACCTCCACCTAAGTTGGCGGAGAGGGCCGATAAGAATCTGCCATCATCTCGTCGCAGCACGCCCCCTGCCGTTATGCTTCCCTGACTCAATATAACAGCTTCATCCGTGTTCACACAAAACCAATCACTCTCGAGCCTCTTCCAGATAACTAGTCTCAAGCTGCGCATATTACTCTCCCCGATCACCCTTCTCATACTGGCAGCTATAGTCGACACTTGGGTACACCACGTCTGGACTATAACAGTGAGCTGGGCGGCCGAGGCAAGCTACTTCTCAAAGACCCAGCGATTCCTATTCTTCCAGAGTTTCCATCCAAGTATAGTGAACAGCGTTGGGTCGATAATTGAGGTGCGTCCTGAGTATAATGAAGCACCCATTGGCTCACATCCTCCTTGAAAAAAGCTTCATCGAATTCCCCATC